CAAGAATCTTAGTGGTTTGCAGCAGCAGAATCTTATTTGTTCATTGGGCATTCTCTAGCATCTTAATCAAATAGCTCCCTGGCTTACTGTTGCTTTGTCTTAGTGGTTTCTGTGTGCCCTATGTAGTCACTGGTTCTTCCTATAGCATCTTAATTAGATTAGGAGTAATCTTGACTAACAAATTGAAAAAAAATGAGAAATCAATCCTTTTTTAAGAACGTTTTCCAGCATGCACAATATGCCAATAATATAAAAGGATCAAACAAAATTTAATATGATCTAAAAAACAAGGAGAATTCCTCTTATGAACTCATATTCAGTAGACCATCTGGAGTGAATTAAACTTTGTGAAAAACATCAGAGATATATTACCTTAAAGTATAATGAAACTTCTGTTTACTTTTTAAATGGAGAGATCCTAGTACACAATTTGTGAATATTGGTCCAGTAACACTCACCATTTTATGTTTACCAACATTATTCTAACAGTTGAGTCTTTGCAAACCACCAATCTAAAAGCTGATGGCCACCATCAAACCATTAAGGCATTGGTGGAGTGTTTAACGTACTCATCTGATTCGATGATAATTTTATTTTTACTGACATTCAGTAGGACTTCCTTTAGTTAGATTAAAATAGAATATGATATAAATAAAAAAGTGACTATTGACCTAAAAAAAAAAAAAAACCGAGTCCTTGCATGCAAGGACTTTTAGCCAGACAAGTGTAGCTGGTACAGCATTGAACTCATGCTGGCGGTCTTCTACACGGGGAGACTTGTGGTTGAGATCAGTTGACTCGATGGTGATGGTGATGGTGATGGGGGGCTGAAAAATCTAATAATGCTTAACTAGTGGTGAAGTGTCTGGCCTTCAAAAGCTATTTTTTTAACTTTTGTTGAAAATTTTCATCAGTCAAGATATGACTAATGAAAATGCCCAGCAATAACGATTAAAACAGTATCGAAAGCAGAACAGACCGTTGTTTGTGCTAAGACTCATCACTTGTGCTGAGACTACTAGCTGCCAAAACTTTCCCTTCTTTCTTTCTATTACTCCGATCCTCTATCAGAAGAGAAGGCTATACTCAGGCAACAACACAACAATGGCTGACGCTATTGTTGGTGCCACTGTCCAGGTTCTTCTTGAAAAGGCACTTTTCCTTGCCACTGATGGGACTGTTTTGGCTTTTGGATTCAAGGATGAATTGGAGAACCTCAGGGGGTCTGTGGCCATGATCCAAGCTACCTTGGCTGATGCTGAGGAGGATAAGCTATGCCAGAACAAGGTAGTGCAACTTTGGTTGAAGAGGCTCAAAGAAGTAGCTTTTGATGCTGATCATGTATTGGATGAGCTCCACCATGAAAGTCTTCGTCGCGAGGTGGAGTCCCGCAACAAACAACTCAAAGGGAAGGTATGCTTTTTCTTCTTCTCCTGTTATAGTTTTATTACTTTTCGTCGCAGAATGGCTCCTAAGATCAGGGGCATCAACATCAAGTTAAAAAAGATAAATCAAGAAGCCCACGACTTTGGACTGATTGGCATTCAAATGGCAGCTTCCATTCCCGCGAGTAATGAACTGACAATAAGTCGCCAGACAGACTCTATTGTTGGACAAAATGTTGTCGGAAGAGCCAATGATGAATCCAATATAGTTGAGATGTTGTTGAGCTCTGCTGAAAAAGTTGTATCTGTTATTCCCATTGTTGGCATGGGTGGAATCGGGAAAACAACCTTAGCCAAATTGGTCTACAATAATCCACAGATTGATGCGCATTTTGGCAAAAAAATTTGGATTTGTGTCTCTGAAAATTTTCAGGAGGTAGAGCTTTTCAAACTGATTTTAGAATCATTGACGGGAAGAAAGGTTGATTTGTCTAGTAAAGATGCTATTGTAAAAGAAATTAAAAAGGAAATGAAGGACAATAGATATCTGCTAGTTCTTGATGATGTGTGGAATGAAAAGCCAAAATTATGGGATGACTTTTTTGAATCTTTAGCCGGAATAGTGACCACAAACGGAAGTAGGTGTCTTGTCACTACTCGTTTGGGACAAGTGGCTACTATTGTGTCCAGGCATTCTCCGTATTTGTTAGGAAAGTTATCTGATGATGATTGTTGGTCTATCTTAAAGGAGAAGGCAATTTCTGGTGGAGAAGTTCCAGAAGAATTCAATCTCATAAGACAGCAAATTTTGAAATGGTGTAATGGTCTACCACTAGCTGCAAGTGTGCTTGGAGGTTTGTTGCGTATAAAGAGAAAAGAGGAGTGGCTTTCCATTGTGGAGAATCGGCTTTTAAACTTGAAGGAAGGTGACAACAGTGTCGAGCAAATACTCAAATTAAGCTTTGATAATTTGCCATCTGCACTGATTAGGAAATGTTTTGGATATTGTTCTATATTTGCCAAGGATAGCGAAATAGAAAGGGATCTTCTAATCGAACTCTGGATGGCAGAGGGTTTTCTTGAACCGGTTTTGTGCAATCAATCATTGATGGAGGATGTTGGTGATCAATATATTAGAGTTTTATTACACAGTTCCCTGTTGGAAGAAGTAAAGTATAACTGGAAAACATGTTATAAAATGCATGATCTGGTGCATGACCTTGCAGAGTCCATTTCAAAACCTGAGTGTGTTAAATCTGAGAATGGTGGGATAGACAACTATAATCAGGTTCGCTATCTTGCAATAAACTCATCTGATGGAATAACAAGAAAGATCTTGAATGATACATCAGCATCAGTACGTACACTTTTCGTAACAAGGAGCATATCTGGTGACATGCTGCCTAAATTCAAGAACTTGCATGTTCTAAATTTGCATGGAGCAGGTCTCAAGGAGCTGCCACCCTCAATTGGCAAACTAAAACATTTGCGGTTTCTGGATCTTTCCAATTCTGGAATCAAAACTTTGCCAGAATCTCTTTGCAAGCTTTATACCTTGCAAACACTCAGGATTGATTGTCTTCGATATCAAGATGGATTCCCAGTTCAAGTAGGTCTTCCAAAACAGATGAGCAATTTGATTAACTTGAGACATCTTCACTATTTTAATCGCGATGTAGAATTCCAAATGCCAATGAATATTGGACTTTTGACTTGCCTTCAAACGCTAGAGTTGTTTAATGTTGGTAAAAAGAAGGGTCGTCAAATTGAAGAGCTCAGGTGCTTGAAAAACCTTAAAGGCAAACTGGTGATACGGAATCTTCAGCTTGTAAACAGTAAAGAAGGAGCTGAACGAGCAAATTTATGTGGAAAGCCAAATCTTCTAAATTTGGAATTTCTATGGAGCCATAAGAATGCAGAAAGTGACAACGTTGAGGGAGATGTACTAGAAGGCCTTAGACCTCACCCAAATTTGCAAGAGTTATACATCTGTGGGTTCATGGGTGATCGATTTCCATACTGGTTTATGAGTTTGACAAAGCTAGTAGACTTGAGCCTCATAGACTGCAGTACATCCAAAGAACTTCCTGCAGGGCTAGGACAGTTGCCATTCCTCCAGAAACTAGAATTCAGTGGATTGGAAAATGTAAGATACATTGGGCCTTCATTCTATGGAATTGATGATGATTTTGGAAAGGTAGGAGGTCAACTAGAAGTTTTGTCCAGAACATTTTTCAGAGCCCTTAACGTACTCACACTGAAAAATATGGGAAACTTGGTAGAATGGATGGAGCCAGATATTAATGTGTTTCCTATGCTTGAGATATTGACAATTGAAGATTGCTCCAAATTGACTACAGCTCCTAGTCATTTTCCAAGTCTTAAAATATTGGAAATCACAAAAAATGACCACGTTTCTGTGGTAAAGAAAATTCTTAGCAAAGTTTCCACTACTCTCTCATCCCTCACGATAATTGGTAACACTGGTATGACTGGGCTGACATGTCTTTCGGATGTGGCTCCCGGGCTAATAGGCAAAAATCTTCACAATTTAAAATCTCTAACCTTGAGGAAGTGCCCTGATTTAACACGTCTGGAGGTTTGCAGCACTTCTCTTCAGAATTTGGAGCTCATTCATTGTGAAAATTTGAGGGAGTTGCCAGAAGATCTGTGCAGATTCCAGGCATTGCGCAATTTGGAGATGATAGGATGCCCGAGAATTCATAGCATTCCAAACAGTAACTTAGGACAGCAAAGCCTCCTCAAGTCTCTCGAGCATTTGAAGATTACAGATTGCAATGCATTGGCCAGTGTGGATACTGAAATGCTGGAGTCCTGTGTGGCTCTTAAGTGGCTGTGTCTTTATGACTGCCCAAATCTTGTCTCCTTCCCAATCCTGGAGAGTTTGCAACAAATGCCTTCTCTTGTAGGGGCTTCATTTCATAATTGTCCCAAATTGATGACTTTGCCCAAAGGATTTGGTTTTCTTCCCAGCTTAAGACAAGTGAGGATTGGCCCTTTCTCAACTGATGATGACCATCCTTCAATAACAAAAGATAATGGGTTTGATTGGTTTGGATTAATATCTTCTTCGACTCTCCGTAGTCTAGAAGTTTATGGGTTGTCTTCTCACAAGGAGTCCCTCCCACACCAGCTCCAATACATGACTACCCTGACTCATTTATACCTGCATCATTTTGGAATGGAAGCTTTACCAGATTGGTTGGGGAACCTTGTCTCTCTTCAATCACTGCATCTTTTGGGTTGTAAAAAGCTTCGATATTTACCTTCCATGGCTGCCATGAGATGCCTCACCAAATTAAATTATCTACATATTGATGGTTGTCCTCTGTTAAAGGAAAGATGCAGTCCTCAGAGCGGCCCCAACTCCGAGTGGTTCAAGATTTCTCAAATTCCCCTTCTAAACATTTGCTGACGGTTCACTAAAATTCGATCTTTGGAAGACTGCTCATTCTGTAAGTGGTTCAAGATTTCTCAAATTCCCCTTCTAAACATTTGCTGACAGTTCACTAAAATTCGATCTTTGGAAGCCTGCTCATTCTGTATGATTTTCAACTCCTAAATCTCCTTAAGAATTCCCTGTCTTGCTTTTCCTTTTTTTCTTTTTAAATAAATTTATTTTGGTCTCTTTCTTGGGTTCTCATAATAAACAAATTATAAGTACAAGCTATTTCTTGCTTATCATTTACATGGTCTAGCACGTTCTGATGGGAACTAAAATGGTAATACTAATTATAGTTTTGAATACTATTTGGCCATCTTTTTCACTTAACATGCTTTAAATTTTCATGATCAAATTACCACTCAGCTAGAAATATATCTTCCAAATCTGCTGAACTTCTTGTTAAACTAATTCCACCACTGCTTTACCTTTTTGCACCTCTGAGATTGAATCAAGCAACTTCTTTCACTCAGATGACATATCATTTCTGTTCGGACCCATCTATACGTACATGAACAAAAAGGATTCTGTTGTAGCCTCGGGATATTCTGATCTTGTCATCAGTATATCTGAAATGAGGAAAAAAAGAAAAACGTTTACTTACCATGAACGATCTCCATTTCTCCAGTATGTTTAATCTATTCATTTCCTGATCCAAAGCATTAATTAAAACAAATTTCTCACATTATTTCCAGGGTGATCTTGGTTTCCATTTCCATTGGGAGTCCATATGTGCCAATCACGATTGCTCCATCATCCATTGTCACATCATATGTGTTGGTACCAGATTTCCTGCAAGTTAGCAACATGTGAGAGAATATACTGTTTGATAACTGCAGAAGGAAAGAGTAGTGCAGCTGAAGAGCATGATTCTGTATATAAACCTCAAGAGCTATGCACGAGAGTAATATCAAGAAATTTGTAGTCAATGGGCCAGAGTAAATTTTTCGACAGCAGCTGAAGAGCATGATTCTGTATATAACTCCAGTATATTTGTATATTTTTCCAATTACTGGTCTGGTGCATTCTCCTTAAGCTTCAAGGAAACGCTAGCAATGGACCAAAGTAAATGTTGCCTAGGGAGACAATGAGATAACAAGACTCGATGAATCTTTTATGTTGCATATATTCCTTATGCTCTTTGTTACTAAGTTCAACATCTCTTTGAACACTGACATCTACTTTGGAAGTGAACTTTGAACAGCTTAAGAGGACAAAATTCATCACTTTCATTTGAGATAATTATAATAGCTTAGCCTCTATAAAGAGTGTGCAACTCATATTTCTTCAAGTTGACATCATTCCTTCGTTCTACAAATTCTTCTTTACGTCCCGACCAAGACTTCCCTATTAGCTCAGAGCTTGTTCAGCACCACTTGAGAGGGGTGATTCAACTTTAAGATCCATGGAGGATGCATGAAGTACCGTGGCTATTTCATACATCAAACTCAACTTGGTAACTTCATGCACCAGGTATAATTGAGTTCATTGAAGACAACCTACAGGCTCGAGCTTGACTTGTAGGACGATGTTATATGATAAGGTTACAATTTAACAGCAACAAGATGTTATATGATCAGGTTTACTGGCATAAATTCACAGTATAATTACATTGCAAGTATTCAGTTTAGCTTCAGCTGGCAAACTCACTACTTCTGTGATTAAGCTTTATTTGATCAACTCTTTTAATATTTTTCTTCTCAAGCTTGTGCTTGACAGTAGTAGTCTGGGGCCAAGCTATGAGTCAAAGAGCTGAAAAGCACTTGGCAGGAAAATGACTTGCTAGAATCTCTAATGGTAATGCATGCTATAATATACTAGATCACATTGTCAACTTTGTAATAATAGGAAACATTGCTAAGACATCAGTTCAACCTATAAATATGAGCAGAAAATTGATTAGATATTTGAGAAGCCTAGAATTGTAATAAGATGCCACACTGGTACAATTTTCAACATCCAATGATTATTCTTTAGTATTTCAGGAGAAAGTTTTGATGTTAATTTGTTCATTTTTTCAACAATTATCTGTTAGATAACTATAATACCATTATATAGGATCAAATATTCATAAATTTCAGTCAAATTTTATGAAAGATTCACATTGAGTCACCCTACTATTTCCTTCTTGTATTCCTTTTCCCTATCCCTTCTTGTGTCTTGACTCCTACTCTATCCATCATTTTGTTTTCATGAAAACTCACATAGACAATGTCAACTTATCTCATCAAAATTTTTTTTTATCCTAGCACATTCTGTATGAAGGGCATGATAAGTCTTTAATGGACAATTTTCCCAATGGGTCCTAAACATAATATTAGGTTGTCATCTGGTGAGCCCACATAAGGAACCGATAGTCAAACACTTGACACGAGATACCTGAAGAGACAATCTTAATGTATCACACCTACCATTTCTAATTACATCTAAGAAAGGGCATCTTTATTCATCCCTCGGTCTCTATTCATTATTGCATATCTACTGAATAAGCCAGCTAGATTGCAACCAAGAAAGCTCAAGGCCCCTAGACTCAACTTAGATATCACTGGTGATGCAAACAAAAGGAAGAGTTTATAAATTTTGTAAGTCATCTTTTCTATGTTGTTATCGAATATGGCACATTTAATATGTGTACTTTAACTCGTATAGTTAAAAAGTCATCTCAGACAAACCATGCAACAATGTGCCTGTTGAGTCCCCTAGTTATATAAGAAGAATTTGAACAGAAAACATCTGCATCAACATATTACAACCTTAAAAATAAGCTGGAAAAGTTTACTAATAAGTCCCATATTACATAGAAAACTTACACAAATGTTCCTGTCATAGAGAATTTGAAGCCAAGAAACATGTCAACTAGAAATTTCAAGCTTCCATTTGGTCTGACAATCTGTACATCCAAAATAAAGAAACATATGAGCATAAATTACTTCAGGATGACAATAGGAGAGACACATTGGCAAGCAATGGAACTGAAAATTGTAGAAATTGCAATTCTTGTGTGCACCTGGTTGCCCATAAGACCATTAGCAGCATTCTCAATCCAACTGTCTGTTTCAACCTTCAATTAATGGAATAAAAATTTCAGCTGTAAATCCCAGAAAACTAGAACAGTACCAGCATTGCTTTGTTTTATGCAATGCAGAAAAAAGTTGAAAATTATAGTTGCCCTTTTATTTGTCAAAAGAGCCAAATCTTGGTGTCTAACTTCTGATAAGGGTTGGAAGAAATGCCATTTAAAGATAAAGTAGGTTCTACCAATACACCAACCAGAAATGGCTTTGACTACAAGGTGACAATACATACATAAAAAAAAATTGCGCTAGAGAGTTCAATCTGAGCAGGAGAATATCAAGTCAGCCAGTTTTGAATGAAAAACAATAACCATGCAGGGAAAGAACCATAAGGAGGTCAACACATTTTCCAATAGAACAGAAACCCAGATTTTATCTGCTAAGATGCAGAGAATATTTTTAAGTTGATAATGTCAAGAATAAGTAGTCCACATGTATAGCTCCAATTATGAAATGGCAACAACTCACCAAAAACCAAAGCATCACAAATGCATTACTCTACATTCTAAGAAGAATACAAGATCTTGTCCAAATGCTACAAGCATCCCAAAAAGAAGAGTTAAAACAAGAAGTGCAAAGAACAATAAAAAAGAATCTCCTAGTTATGGTACAGATATTAAAAAAAAAAACTACTATCCATGTAAAGTTTCTGAACAGTTGAATAATCAAACTCATCATAGTTCAATCTTCCTTTTTGCCAAAGGCTCCAGATCTTACATAAACAGATGCATGCCCTTAATGTTAATCAGTTACTTTGCGGGGTGGACCTATTAGATTTCATCTTTTACCTTGGTAAGAATATTTTAATCAGTTTCTGTCAAATGAATATGTAGCAGCTTAATGCACAAACAGCACTTTAGTGGCCCTTTCCTATATGAGTTTAATTTTTGTTTGGTTTCATTCTGCACTATTCAATTCACTTGTATTTTTGGGAGTGGGGAACCTCTTTCATGAAGAAACTTTGCAAATTGTGGTGAGAAGGGGTATGTAAAGTTCATCTATCAAATTAAAAGGATGCAATTTGGCAAATACAAACACATTATGCCAACATCAATCACATTTGCTAATCTGTTATCAATACCATACCCTTGTGTGCATATCCTATCAGTGACTATGACATCCAGGAGGAAAAATGATATCACATCAGCCAATCCACTAGATGGCAACCTGGAATCATGGCATCCATGGTCCTATTTCTGTGACTAAGTAGCTGGCAAGATAGGTGATTCTTATTTTCTAGTTTTCTCCAATAATAATAACAACAACAACAATAATAAATAATAATAATGAGTTTGTTGCTTGTCCAGAAACTACCTGAGAACTCCATATCATTTTCCATTCCCCTTCAAGGAGTTCGAGTTCGGTCTCTGCTACTTTTTGATTTAAGGTGATGAACTCTTCAATCGCCTGTAAGTGTTACAACGTTGGAAACTTTAGGAAAAATAAGCTGCAATGCTATGAAACATTTTTGTGAATAATTATATTATGAAAGTATGCTTGAGAACCAAAGGAGAGGAAAAGAAAATGAGAATGAGTACCTCTTTAACATTTAATCCTGTGGATATGACAGACAGCAACTTTTGCCTTGAATCAGTTTCCTTTTGCAGCACAAATGTGGTTCCCTGCACTACAGCATTGAAGCTGGTTGTCCTTAGTCCTTAGGAGACAAATGACAAGAGGAGATTTTGGCAAACTTTTCTGTTTGATTAAAATAAGATTTGGAACTGGTATAACTGATATGTCCCGACAAAACAGTCATGAAAAGCTGTGAACATGGTTACCTTATTTCCCCTTGAGATACGAATGTTTCCAGATTGAGACAAGTATGTAGTATCTAACCAGCCCTTTGCCTCATCTCCGAGAAGTCTAAATGGAACTGGATATGGAACCTTGAAGGGCAGAAATTTGAAAGAAAATGCAGCTCTGTCAAATTGGAAAAGGATTCGCTTTCCATCTTTAAGTGTTGCTGTTGCCTGAAAAAGCAAAGCAGACATGTAATCTAAGACCTACTTGGTCTTTATTTAGCATCCCTAAGCTTGAAAATTGTTCATTCTATGGGATTTTATTTCATTTTCCTTTTACTGCTAATGGATTACGTAAAAAAGTTACATATCCAGAAGTTCTTTTACATGTGTGGCTGTTGGGTTTGTGAAAGAATTAAGATCTTCAAATTTAGGTCCAAGTGTGGGTAGACTATTTGTTACTAGGTAAAGCACCACAGTGATACTGATGAGTGTGGGTCAGGCTAGTCTAGCTAAACTTAGACCCTAAACTAAAATTAAGCACAAAATAAAGAACTATCCATCTTAACAATTTTTGACCAAGAATAAGAAGCATTCTCTTTTATCTTCAAAGCCTGATCTTTTTGACTGACAAAAACTGGCACTGTTGACCCATCAAACTCAAATTGTTATTGCCACACTGATCTATTAATCACCACCTGTGTCTTAATTTATCTCCTGATAGATTTGCCAAAATGTTCCTAGAAATGTTCATAATGTGCAAAAAGGTGGGCCACAAAAAAGCATCCCTGAGGTTGTTTTCAACATTCCAAGTTTGCAAACTTTCTTTTTGTAACTTTCTCTGCTACTAAGAATTCTTGAAGTTATCTTCATAATCACCGCTAGCCAGAGGAAATTTCACATAATAGGAAATTTTTTTTGGCTAAAAACGAATTCAAAATGTAAAGAATTGGCAATACTGAATATTGATATCATTGAAGTTGAGATAATTCAGCCCCAATACTATCATAACATATTTTTCTTCAGACATGAACTTCTTGTTGACAAAATAAGTTCAGAATCAACTGAAGCAGAAACAAAGGCAAGCATCTATGAAGATCATGCTCATAAGGAGGTGATGCATTTCATCTTAAAGTATGGGTTTAACTACTGATGTTCCACAAGCAAAACCAAGATACTCACTAACCCACAGAGATGCGATGTTAAGGATGTAGCCCCTAACAAATCTAAGGTACTTAATCAAGGTCCCATATTTTCCTCATTAATCCTTAGGGTAGTAAAGGTAGCAGAGAATGTGTGAAACAATCCAACGAGTTGTAAAATAAATCCTCTAATGCAGAGAAAAATATGGAACAGCATCTGGAGAAACCTTCAAAGGCTAGCATTGTTGATTGGGAATGTATATTTTTTGTTGTTAAGGATTATAGTACAGAAAGCTTCAAGTATGTTTCTAATCTACTTCCCCAGACGGTTTAGATGTTCTCATATTTAGCTTGAAAGAATGTTCTGCATTTTGTGTGCTAGTCAAATGCATGGAAGGAAAAAAGAATATTGCAATATGCATGACTCTTGGTGCATTTTTAGTTTCTATCCCACGCCATCCTCATATTTGTCACTTTAGCATTGAAGCAAAAGGTGGTTCTTTGACATCACTATCATGGTTTAAATCCCTTAGAAAAGGACTCTTTAACATGGTTTAGTGGAATTATTTCTGTAACTGAGAGTAGTAATTCTCCATTTCACATGGCAAATTTTTAAAAACAAAGTGCAGAACCTACCCTTCAATATACTTTTATGGATCAGCCGTCTAATCAATTGAAAAAGTCATACAAGCTACAGCCCAAGATGTGAAAGAACTTTCCCTCTTTAACGGTTGCGTATGACATAAGGTCTGGTTTTTGTGGAAAAATGGCCACAGCTTTATTAGCATAAAAGATATGATCTTGCAAGCACCATTGATGATTTTGAGTCCACAAAGTGAAATGAAATTTGATATTTCTCTAATCTGCCTTCAATACAAATGCTTGCTACAGAAAATTAGAGAAATTGAAGTCATACCTCTACTTTTAGCTCACCCACAGCATCAGAAAACTTGACAATGTTGGACACACGTGGGTCATTTGTACGAAGGTATACCTCTTGAAATACAGTGAATGAATCAACTCCAACGAATGTTCTCTGGAAAAAATTTAAGCATGTTAGAGGCTGAAATCCAGATAAGTAATATATAGGAGTAATATCAAATGAAACTTTGTATCACATGAGTTAACTCTTTTGCACATATCATGGTACAAAAATCTTAATAATTTTCTTAAATTCCTCCTTGAATACTGTTATTTGGAAAGTACTAGTGGTCCAAGATCATTTCAACTCATTCCTGTTCATATTACATTTCAAGATCTGTATGCTTTTGATTCTTGCCTGAAGCCTCTATCAAGTGTTGCTCTATTTTCTTTTGCCAACAGCAACATTATTAACACCTTCTTCCTTTGTACCATTTTGGAAAGAAGAAGCAGAATATTCATGGTCTATCATACAGACAGCAAAGTGTCATAATGATGATAAAACCGAAACTATAATATAGATTTCTTTCTTTAAGAGAACGATAAAAACAATTCATATCTTTTAACAAATTCACGGAAGTTATAGAACAAATTTCCTTCTCTGTTTCTGAATTTTCTTGACCTGGATATGCTGAATTAGAAACAAATGGTTCCATTTGAGTACTCCTTCTGTAGTTATGGAGATTTTAAGACACGCATGTATATGCTTTGAATTCTCAAATCCATCACATTCTATTAACAAATCAGGTATCCAAGTTCTTTGTAATAAGGCCAGTAAAGAGATCAATTTACTAATACTCATGAGATGACATTTTACATCTTGTCAAGGATAAAGAGCTGAAACTAGAGAAGTCACCATATATTTTCTCAGTTGTCGGACTTAAGAAAGACATATTTCTTCAAGCAGTGCAATTTGAAGAACATCTGATTACCCCTTCATAAGATGCAATAACGTCACCCTCTCATTCTTTATGGCATCTAAATAGCCTAAATGATAGCTTCAGGTTGATAACATTTTGATAACCTAAAATGTATTAGCCAGCTATTTCAAATCTGAACACTTGTCAACTAACCTGAATTGCAGATGCTGTGCCTGGTCTTGTGGTGAACATCAACTGCCAGCGGCCTTCTATCAAGCTTGAGCTTGTCTGAGATATGAAGAAATACAGCTGCTCTTAAACATTATAATTGATTAAAATTTATGCTTTTTTAACACATAGAGATTCAGCTTAACAATGTGAACATAAAAGTATTATTAAATAATTCTTTTTTAATCCATTTCATCGCACGATTTCTTCAAGGAGAAAAATGAAGAAGGCAGTAATTTTCTCTTTCAGCTTATGCTTTCAAATTTATGGGATAAAAAAAATTCAAGCAAGAGTTTTCAAAGATAATGCTCACTGGTTCAGGCACTCCTACTAAACCTTCTAGCACTTGCACGGCTCGTTCAACATCCTGCACATTTTCTTATAACATTAATGATAGCAAATAGCAGTAAAAGCTAGAAGTTACAGAGAAGAAAACCTATACACACTTTCAATCATTTGATAGTCGATAATTTGTGAAAAAAAAAATTCTTAATCTATTGCATTCCATAGATTACTCAATGTAAAGCAGTTAGTAAAGAGACTTGCGACACGTTTCAGCAATCCATAGAATCTGAAATAATTGAGAAACTCTCAATTTCAACTGCATTACCTAACCACCTAGAATCAATTAAAAAGAAAAGTAAAGGCATAACTTAATAAACATCTGTTCCCAAAACAAAAGTTCATGCCACCATCAAACTGTGCTTCAAATTTGACACTACAAATTTTTTTCCTACTTAATACTATTATACGCTATCATACGCATTAATTTTCAGTCCAAGAACATAAAAAAGAAAAAAAAAAAGACAACAGTGCAGATTATAATCAGGAAGGAAAGGTGAATAGTGTTAGCATACTTGCAGCTGCTTAGAAGAAGCAGAGCGACCCCGGCCCAGGACACCAATGAAAGCATCAATCAAAGAACTCTCTTCTTTAGTAAACCCAGAATCTGAAGCCTCCTCAACAACCTGTTCCTTCTCTTGTTGGTCAATCATTGAGCACATTGTACACAATCTTCTTGGAGCACGGTTTTGCCTACCAAAACTCTGACTCGACAACAAATTATGAGCAGCCCGAGTCAAAATGGTGCTTTTTGATGCGGGATTTGGCTTCACAAAAAAGGGTTCATTTTGGAATCTCAGGCCTAGCTTTGCAAGATCAATGGCTGCTGCCATTGTTGCTTGAATATACTAGAGGTTGCCTTCCTGTTTTTCCCTCTGTATTTGTGAAATGAAGAGTTTAGCTGAGAAATGGGGGAGTGGAGGGAGAAGAGGAGCCAACGAACTTTTGGGATTTTTTTTAGTTTGTGATTTGTTGGGCCACGTGGGTGATTAATGGTCTTACACGTGGAATATAATCGGCCTCTGTTATCTTTGGGTACCATGATTTTTCTTTTCTTTGTTTCTACTTTTACAAGATTATTATTGAACTGGTAAGTTATGTTTACATTGGTTAATATTCATGTCCAAAATATTTATTCTAATTTAATATACATCTGAAATGGAATTTAGAAAAAACAATCAACACGACAAAAAGGATAAACAACAAAATATGTTAAGGTAAAAAAAACTCCAATGGCTAAGGGAGGGCTAGGCCCCAAAAAAAAAAAAAAAATGGTAGGGGCGTGCGTAGTTTCAACCAAAATAATAATGCGGGAGGGCCTAAATCCACACTTCTCCATACTAAATCCACACCTTATACACTTATTTGACACTTATACCCTTAGATTTTAGGTTTATTGGACGCATCTCGTAGTTTTAAGAAACATATATTTGTATAAAAAAAAAGAGATGAAATGGCTATACGGTAAAAAGAAATATTTTCAAACATTTTACAAGGGTTTAAGAATATTTACTAAATTATAATTCAATTTAGCAATCCAAAATTTTCAATTACTAATAAGCATGTAAATAGAAATGTTCACACATTTCAATTCCATAAAATTAAAATCAGGCAAATTCCAAGGTGAAATATTCAATCATATTGACTTTATGCTACTAATATTTATCATTTGATTACATGTAACTTTGGAAGAAAGTTTAATATAAAAAAGGTAGTAGGTTATAAGAGGGAAGAGAAATAATTTAAAATAACTTTAGAGGAACCTAAATTTTGGAACAAGAGAAACCAGAAAAGGAATTTCTATATAAGATTTAAATAAATATTCATGTGTGAATTTTTTTAATAGAAAAGATGTTACTATTCTCTCTCTTCATTATGTAGAAAGATAATTAAACACTGTAAAAAGTTTTGAATTAATATATAAAAACTAAGGGCATAAGTGTCTAATAACTGTATAGGATGTGGATTAATACATGGGATTGTGGATTTAGCCTCTCTCTAATAATAATCATAATAATAATAACGATTAATGGCTGCCATTTGCCCAACCAAAAAAAAAAAGAAAGAAAGAAAGTAGAGCCAATAGTAATATTTTATTATGTATATCTTTTTCCTGAGGTTTTTTAAATCTGACCTTGCTAAAAAAATTATACGTAGAGACTAATTTTAAAGTGAAAATATTTTCAAAGTCATAATCGATCATAGCAATAATCACTTTTAAGTCCGCACTTGTAACTTTTAGGCTCTACATATGCTTTGTCTAATTTTGTGTTTAGTCTTTGTTGTTGGTGTAAAATTTTCAAATATCTATAACGTTCTCATGAATACTGCATAGAAAATTCTGAAGGATCTTCAGATAAAAATTCTTCCTATTTAAGGAAGTAAAAGACAATTTGTAGGAACAAAACAAAGAAAGAAGAGGCAGCCTCTTACAATTCCTTTATATGTGTGTTTTATTTTCCATCATTACATGTTTCTTTTTCTTTAACAGAGGTCAGGTTTGGCCTCCTCTAATTTGATGTTTTTTTTTTCTCGGTTTTTAATATATTAAGGGATGGTATCCCTATTAAAAAAAAAAATTTGATTGGATTTTGTTTTTGACACTTAATTATCCAATATTTAATCTAGTTGCACTCAAAGTAAAAAGTTTTAAATCAATTTTCTATATTAACAAATTCTTTTTTACCACTAGATTATTTTAACTAAATAAGAGTATACTTAAATATATAGTAAGAAGCAGTTTATTTATGGATAAACCAAAATATGCAATAATTATGTAGCAATACAACAACTCTTATTTTTTTCATATTGGAAGAAGAAGGCAAGCTAATGGAACGAGCAATATGGCTGGAGACAAAGGTCGCCATCTTTTTCTTGCACAAACAAGCCTTTGAAACGGTTGAAAAACCAAATTCTTCTCCATTTGCATATATAACTCTTAGTGAAAACAATAGGAAGCTCGTCCTCATCGAGTAGTGATATCAATTTGCAGATGAAGTATTCATTCAACCACCATTTTGAGTACCTGTTTGGATGCCAATTCTGATGAAAAGCATCACATGATGCTACCTAAATAATCAGGAAATCAGAATTTTAAGCGGGTTATGTTCATAGCTGGGGAACAAAGGGAATCTTGATCCGCTCGTGGGATTTTTCAATTAGTCTGATTAAATCATGATGCTGAGCCATTAATTGTTGATCAATGGTAATTTGTACTGATAATAATGACCTGAATTTGCCTATTGAAGCCACCACCAGCTGCCATTTGGCAACAAATTATTCTTCACAAATCCACACTTGCTGCACGCATACGAGTTATGACCAGAGAATTAAGAAATTTTTTAAAATAATTTGGTAAAGAAAAGCTGTAGGAAGAACAACTTATTAATGGGCCGGGGAACCTCAACTTTATGGCATTTCTAATTTTTAGCCTGCAAGCATTAAGTCGAATAATCATGATTATTGCTAGTCCCATCTTTTTCATTCATTTTATAATTTTAATATGAGAAAATATCATTTCAAACAAAATATTAAATGTTGTACCATAATCCTTTTTTTTTTTTTTCCAAACACATAGAATCTATTTTAGATCTACTCTTACTCTATCCAAAAAGACTCGGGAGGAGTCTGAACTACCACAGGTTCAGACAGGTGCCTATGCACCCGCTGATGAAATCTCCAGGAAAACTTGAATTATTTTTAGAATGCAGATCAAGGAATTTGATTCGTTGATTTACACCTAAGTAGAGATTTAAAATTTTCTTGATGGCCAACTACTCCAACTACTGGTTGTTTTACCATAATCCTTTCGTAGAAGTAAAATGTAGAGTATTAAAATTTAAAGAATATAAATCTAACAGATTTGGTTATTTTGTTGCATTTTAATTCATTTTGTTAAATTTCGGAAAATGGCTATTTCATTTAATTTTGAAGGAATGCATTTCTTTGAGGAATGTTAAATTTATCATTGCATCAATCTTTTTAAAACGACCTTGAGAGTATCTCTAATCATGAATAAACATAGATGACAGCACCATCATCCATGGTCAATGGCAAGGGAAGGATGATAAGAGATCAATGTAGATAATCATTTCTTATGTTTTTATGTATGTATAAATTTGTACATGTATGATGTGTGTATACAAAATTGAACTGCATAGCATCCAGTTGTTGAAACCATGCTGACTGTGGCCTAAACTAGTGGTTAAGAATATTGAGAAGGGAAACTCTAGTTTTCAGCAACAGCCTGAAGACAATTTCAAGCATCTCTGCTAATTCTTGAATGCTAGATTCCAAGGCCTCGAGACCTTTTACTACATCTACGTTCGACTTGTTTTTGTTTAACAGATGCAGCTCCATTTCTATTTGTTCCATTGCTGCAATATTGGAGTGTCCTTTAGATGATGCATTCTTGCGTAATAACTTCGAGACCAAAGATCCAGCCTTTGATGGAGAAAGGAAAGATAAAGTGGACTCCAACACTGTTAGAGTTGTTTCTCGAACTTCTTTGATAAGGTCAACCAAAGGGACCTTTTCAGAATCTTTGTTTACTAATGTCAAGTTGCAGTTCTTTTCTGCTTTCTTCAACTCTTTATAGCATTTGCTGATCATTTTATTCAACTGCTTTTTGGAGATCATATATGAGTTAACTTCATCTGCCAGATGTCCATTTCTTTTCCTCCGTAGAGATGACTCGAGTTCCTGGACACTTTCATTCACCTGTGAATAGATGTCTCTGACTGCCCCACAAATGTCCAACAGGATGAGAGATCCATCCAAGACCTCTTGGTCATTTGAGAGAGCTTGTTGGCTCAAAGGCAGCTGAAGCACATCATCCAGACACTCGTACAAGTTCTTGAGGGCATCCAATCTTTGGCATGCCAATGAATGTGAAGGTGAGGATGCAGCTTCTGATGACTTCAACCGTTGCAGGTGCTCCTCAGCATTCACAAGAAGAGGATGAGAAGAAGAAGGCAAACTAATTGAACGAGTGTGGCTAGAGAATTTCGGAGCTGCCATTTTTGTACTTGAGCAAAATGTAACAATTGAATGTTAATTGTCAAGTCTTAGAAGTCTTTGGAGATGTTGAAAACCAAATTCCTCTCCACTTGTATATATAGGTAGTAAAGAAAACAAAAGGAATCTCATCCTCAATTTGTCTAGTTGTAATAGCTGAGTAAGTTTTGCATTTGTCCGAGGTCTGTCTCACAGTTGTCGGATCTCAAAAGATACAATCAGTATGAAGATCTCAAAATATTTATGGTAAATTATTAATACAATGACCATTTGATTCTCCAATCTCCATCTTTGAAGCCAAATATGCCAGTTGTTGCCATTTTCAATTAAAGCTTCACATGTTGCACGAGTGAAGTGCTCAGAAATGCAGGGGTTATGTCAACTGTTGGGGAACATGAGGGTTCTATTGCACTGATTAAATCACGATGCTTAGCCAGGTGTGGAATGACCAGAGCGTTTCACCACTAAACTTTACAGAGCAAAGATCGTTCCATCCCCGCAAATTTGAACAAAAAATGGCACATCAAGTCTCTTGCATGCTAATTTTTTGGATAATTTTGCATAATGCTAGATTACTTCTTTAAGGTTTTAATATACCCATATAACTCCTCTGTGATTTTATGTGGAGCGAGAAATGGACGGAATGCACAATCAATTATGGTGATTACATGAGGTGCACTTCAAAAGTGCATGTGATGAAATCATGATATCTACTTTAACTCACCTACAGTTTGCATAAATATCCACTTTATACTTTATAATTTTTGCATTTATTCATGTAACCTCTATATAATTTTATATAAAATGATGAAGTTACATTTGATTTAGCATGTAAGCAAAGGCACTCCTGGTATTTTACCTAAAGACGTTACATAGGCTATTTTCCATCAAATTTCTACTTTACTTGAAATCATAGAAGGGTGAATTGGACATTTCGTAACGTTCAGGACTCATGTTGCAATAGATGAAACTATAGGGGAGTATTTATAATTAACCCAATATTTTCAAACTATTTGTTAGATGTCAACCTTGTCTTAAAACCTTTTCGTTACTTATATCTACGTTTGTTAAGTTTCAAGAAAGATAGAACCCCTTGGCTTTAAATCTGTTACATTTTTAATTTCATTAAACACATGTAGTGCTTTTTTTCCTGATCTTAGTTTTTCGGCTTCTTCGTTAAACTGCATATCAGATCGATCATTGTGTATCAATTCATAATGACTGTAAATTTGTTAGTAGAGGCACAAATGAATAGATTTGTTAGTACTTTGGTTTAGTTAAAATTCCACATTTTTTCTCATAGGGGACTGTTCTTGATGCTCCTTGTGCTTGAGACAGAAAAAATGCAAGCACTTGACTGAGCCCTAGCTTTTCAAACAAGTGCAACGCAGAGACAGAGGCGAAGTCTATATTAAAGGGCTACCCATTTGAAGCTGTCCTTTTATCCAGAGCTTGATCAAGGGACTGTTTTTAAACTCTGCTTTCATGATGCACGGCTTTTTTTCCTGGCTGTGGAACATCTTATCAACACACTGTATCAATTAGTTCTATTTCAAGTCCGTTTTTGAGATTATGGTAAGTGTTATACTCATCTCTCTTTTCTGCTTAAAGATCACTTAAGTTTCTGGATATTTCCTTCATCTGTGAATAGATTTCTATGACAGCACAATAAATGTCCAACAGTTCAAGAGATCCATTAAAGACCTCTTCTTCCCATTTGCCAAATTTTTTATGGGTGAAAAGTTGGTGGCTTGGAGGGGCTGAAGCATGTAATATTAGTACTCATGGAAGTTCTTGAGGCCATACCATTCTTGGCATGCCATGCTAAGATCAAGATGCAGCTTCTGACGAGTTCAACCTTTGCAGCAGTGTTGCTCAGCATCCACAAGAAGAAAATGGGAAGAAAGAAGCAAGATATGGATAAGGGAACAAACATGGCTGCTGATCTTTGATTCAAGTCAAATGTTGCAATCTTTTTTGGGCAAAATTGTATGCCTTTGGAAGTAGTTGAAAAACCAAACTCTTCTTCATTTGCTCATACAGGTGTTAATGAAAACAATAGGAATCTCACCGTCATGTCTCGTTGCAATAGCTGATCAAAGTATTCCATTTGTCCGATGCCTGTCTCTTTGTTGTTGCATCTCTATATATACGTTCAGTGTTGAGATCTCAATTTGCAGACAAAGTATTTATACAACCACCAATTTTGGATCACCTGTTTTTGTGCCAAATGCCATTTAAGCATCACATGCTGCCTGATCAATAAATCAGAATTTTGTGGGTCATGTATATTGCCTGGGAACAAGAAGAATCTTTACCCGCTCGTGGTATTTTTCAATTAGTCAATTAGTCATTCGTGTGTGTTTGTGACATTGATCAAATCATGTTGCTAAGCCATTAATTATTTACCATAGTTTATATTCATCATAATGACCTGAAGTTACTTGCTAAAAATCGCATGAAGAAGAACGAATTGAACCTCAATTTTATGGCGTTCTATTTTTTTAGCCTGCAAACATTACCTTAGACAAGTATTATCATCGCTAGCTCCATCATTCATGCTATAATTTTTTTTTTTCCTTTTGTCTTCATAAACACGAGCATATGGTTGACCTTTTGAGCTGATAAATGCATCTCTAGAATGGAAGCCAAATTTTTAAATTAAAATTTGCCTGTTAAGATAACTTTTGCTTTGAGGTGATGTTGGCATTAGCAAAATAAGATCTGTGACTTATCATTCATTATTATCACCTCTAACGTGAGACATGGATTGAAATGGTAAACATCTTAGCTTAAAAGTCCAACTTGTGGAAGTGTAATTAACTCTTTATTAACTTCCAAAACCATTAGTCATCCCCGGTTAAATTGCTTGTCATTTTGGCTGATCTACATACACATTGTGATGCAAAAATGTACTCACGCTTTTTTCGTTGGGCACCTCGGGGAAGGGGGGATGAACTACACTATCTCGATAATTAAACTAAGGGAAAATCACAAAAGTCCCCCTAAGGTTTTTGGTGTTTCGTAATTTGTGGGTCATGTATATTGCCTGGTACTTTATCCCCCCTGTTAGTTCACCTCAGCAAATGATCCGTTGGAACATTGAACTAGATGAAATTAACCCCCATTTAAACCATTAAAATTTCTAACGAAAATGCCTCTCTCTATTATTTACAAAGAAACATTTCCCTTCAAGCTCAGAAATATTTTGTTATCATTTCATCGTTCATTAGAGTCTTTAAACGTCCAAATCCTACTTTTGCAGCCAAACAAAAGGAAAAAAAAAGTGTTCCAAATTTCTTCAAATTCATTTTGTTGCTCCTTCTTTAGATGTTGTTCATCACAGCATCTAAAAGAACTAAATCAACAAACTTGTGGATGTGATAAACTAGTGTCCATAAGAAGATCATGGACACCGAAAAATTCTGAAAGGAGATTCTTAGATGTTCAAATTATAAAGTATGATTTGTATGATAAGTTAATGTCTCTTTAAACTTTTAGACAAAATAATTTGAAAAACAAAAAAAATTATTTTTCTTCTAGAATTGTCAACCATTTGATTTTCTCATTCTGTCTCTGCAAAATAGATTAACAAGAGCGGGCTTTTTTCCTCCAAGAATGATGTTTTTGGGAAACAAAATATTGTCTGACCTGAACCAGTAGGCAATTTGTCTATTCATTATTTTATCTGGGATACCATTGTCCTTTACGTGTTAGTCGTCACAACACTTACTACTCGAATGCTTTGACTACCGGTCAAGGGAATAAAGTGTCAAAAAAATAACATTATGGAGTAAAATGCAAAACACTACAAACCTTAAGGGGACTTTTCATGAGTTTCCCAAATTTCATCTGAATTTATACATTAGATTTTGAAAAGGGTAAAAACAAATATTAAAACTATTTTACTACTCTTCCCATTTTATTTTTGACGAAAATTTTATGATTAGATTACACTTTTTTTATGCTCTATCTGTCATAAACTCGAGAAAGATAGAGAGAGATCGAGAGAGAGAGAGAGGAGGAGGCACCATGATCATTAGTTTAAGAGTAAAATACACTTTACCCCTTTGTGATTTAGCTATTTTTCACATAATCGCCTGTAGTTTCAAAAGTTATACATAATCTACTCATTGTTTAAAATAAAGTGTCAAATTGACAGAATTATGATCCTCTCTAATGAAATCCATAAAAATGTTGAAATTATCCTTGTTAAAAAATTAAAATAGTTGAAGTGACTAAAATAAATAAAGGGCAAATTCTACTTTATCCCCCTGAGATTTAGCATTTTTTACATAACCCCCCTACAGTTTCAAAAGCTATACATAATCTCCTCATGGTTTGGATTAAAGTGTCAAAGTGACGGGAATGATCATTCGTAACGGAGTCACCTAAAATGTCAAAAATACCGTTATGTAAAGTTAAAAATTATTTATTAACCAAGAGGGGTTATGTGTATATTTTGAAAACTGTAAAAGGGTTAAATGGTAAAGTGTTAAATCATAAGGGAGTTATATGGCAAAATATAAAAATCATATGAGGTTAGTGTGTCATGTATTTATAAGGGTAATTTCGATATTTTTAGAAGTTCCGTTACGAATGACTATTTCCATCACTTTGACACTTTAATCCAAACCATGAGGGGGTTATGTATAGCTTTTGAAATTATATGGGGTTATGTAAAAAAAGGCTAAACCATAGGGGGTAAAATGTAATTTGCCCATAAATAAATATAATATGCATAACAAAATTAACCCCTTATGATTTTGTGTATTACCACATAACCCCCTTATACTTTAGTACTTTACCAAATAACCCATTGTGGTTTTCAAAATATATACAAAACCTTCCTATTGTGAATAAATAATTTTCAATTTTATATAGGGGTACTTTTGACATTTTAGTTAACTTTGTTATGGAATACAAATTCCATCACTTTCACACTTTAATTCAAATTATAAGGGAGTTAAATATAGTTTTTGAAACCTTAGAGGATTTTATCGAAAAGTGCTAACCACAAGAGGGTAAAAGATATTTTACCCTTAGTTTGGAAATATTTTATATTATATTAACAGTTGGACGATACTGGGACATGTTGAAGAGTTTAGTGCATATAATGTCCCAAATTGCAACTCGTGTTGCAAAATGTTCCCAATTAAAATTTGAGTACAATGTGCGAATTAGGTCAAATTTAAAGGTGCAAAGTTAGGGTGTGTTTGATAAAATTGATGTCTAAAAAATGAAATCTGAATTATGAACTCTGAATTCATTATGTTATTGAATTGTTAAATTGTAAATTTGATATATATAAGTGCATGTCATATTAAGTGATAAGTGAATAGTTTATCACTTAGTTTTGGAAGCAAGTTTTATCTACAAAATTCAATGCCATTTAATTAATTCAAATGTTCAAGTTTTCATTATTAAATGGGTCTAAATATATTAAATTTAAATGATGAATTGAATTATCATACAAGGTAATTGTTTGTTATAGTGGTTGCAACCAATGCGAAATGTCATTATCGGGTAATAATTAGCTATGCTTGTAACTTGGACCAGAATTAAACACCCCCCCCCCCCCCCCCCCCAAAAAAAAAAAGAAAAAGAGCCTATGCTTGTAATTGAAGCCGCAATCAAGTTCATGTGAAACAAAAAGCTCTTGAGAAGTCATCTGTAGCGCCTAGGAATCAAATATAAAGCATGAAATGCCCAAGACTCAAATTTTGTCGATTTTATCTTGACATTGTATTTGTTTTAATTGTGTTACCCTAATTTGGCGGCAGAGATTAAATCGACCATGATCCTTGATTTTGCATCTGGGAAACAAAGGGAGTGAAATTTCTGGTTGAATCCATCTGATTTTCTATGAAAGTTGAAATAGATGCAAGCATCAAGACATATAAGTGTATTGTCATCATAATGGTATAACTGTTAATAGATTCCTTTCATTTCTCAACTAGAATGGGAAAAAATTGTATGGCTGTGAAATCATCAGCAGAGTATGATTAATGGTTGAGTACGTTAAGAAGAGAAACACTTCTCAGAATCTTGAATATTTCTTCTGAATTCTCTTCAACCACCTGCATGGCGAATTCTAGTGACTGCAACTGCTTCAAGATGTTTTGTGCAGCAAAAGCATCATTAACCTCGTCAAAGTTGCTAAGACATGCAATACATCTCAATCTTTCCCAAGTCATAAACCTCTTCATCCTATTCCGTGACATAATGGACAAGTTTTGGATTCACACACTTGAAAACCAATGACCACCTTTTCAGCTTTGAGCCTTCCTTTGTGCCTGATGCAAATGTTAATACAGGTCTCAAGATTGAGAAAGTAATTGGCTCTGTTTCTTGTAGCAAGCTTGTGACATCTACAGGGTTGCTGTCTTTATCAAGAGTGCTGAGGACTGAGGAACAGTTCTTCTCAAGTTTCTTCAAATGTTTCAGGCTGTGCAAGTTGCTAGAAATCGAATAGGCTGAGGAGGAGGTGGCATCACAGGACTTTAACCTTCAGGGCCAGTAGTCATTGGATAGGAACTAGATGGCAAACTGCTCGATGGTGTATGGCAAGCTGCTTTGGCAGTTAGCTAGAGAATCGGCCATATTTGCTGGGGAACGAAGTCTGAAGTATGAATACACTTTAAAATTGGAGATGTTCAGCAATCTCTTTAGCATCAGCAAACAAATACAAATTTACAAATCCTAACCAGCAGAAAGAATATTATCCAACTCAGCATGTCTTCAACCCAAAATAAAAAGAAGATCAGCACATAGTTCTGCCTCCTAACACTGAGACAACAATTGATCCTTCTTTTCATCACATTTCTTGAAGCTGACAAGCAAAAGGAATCTTGACCGATAGTAGTTCAAATATTTATTAGCATTTTGTCATCAATATGCTTCAATTAGCTCCTCAGATCAACCATCTGCTCTTGTTACTGGGGAATAAAAAACTGAAGTATTGTACAAGATATATGATGGTGTTAGCTAGCAATCATCTTATTCTAAATTCAACCACTGAGCACATGGTTTTTTCCTGAGGAAGGAAGAAGCAGTTTTTTCCTTATTCCTGAGGCCATGATTGTACATTGCAGGATCAACGACTGAGCAACATGATTAAACCACTGTCTACAACATGCATGGACGGCTAATTGAAAATGTCCACGAGCATGCAACGATTCATATTTCCTATGTGTCTAGCAATTTACATCGCAAGCAGCATGTGATGCTTTTAATAATAGAATTAAATAACCAGTACGATCAGCTTTGAGTCAGAGCTGGTGATCTGAATGGTTGTTGCATCAATAATCTATTGAAAATTGGGATGTCAATACTAGATGCATCTTCTGAATCCGACTTCAATGAGACAGAATGATGGACAAATAGAATACTCAATCAGCTAAACCAACTAGACAAAGAGTGGATGAGATGCCTTTTGTTTTCTTTATCACCCATATATACAAGTGGAGAGCAATTCTGTTTTCAACATCTCCACAGGCTTTTAACCCCAAATATTCAACATCCATTTGTTACATTCTGCTTAAGGGAGAAAGATGGCAACCTCTGTTCCAAATCAAAAATTCACTAGCCATTCTCGTTCCATTAGTTTGCCTTCTTCATCTCACCCTCTTATCTTGACTGCCAAGGAACATCTACAAAGATTGAAATCATCAGAAGCAGTACCCACAACATCACATTTATTTGCATGCCAAAAATTGGATGGCCTTAAGAACTTGTACTAGTGTCTGGATGACGTTCTTCAGCTTCCTTTGAGTCGACAGGCTCTCTCAAGTGAAAGACCTGGAAAATGGGAAGAAGAGCTCTTGGATGGATCTCTCAGGCTGTTGGACATTTGTGGGGAAGTCAGAGACATCTATTCACGGATGAAGGAAATTATGCAGGAACTTGAGTCATCTATACGGAGGAAAAGAAGTGGAGATTTGGCCCATGAAAGCTCATATATGATCTCCAAAAAGCACTTGAATAAAATGATCAGAAAAGTCTACAAAGAACTTAAGAAAGCAGAGAACTGCAACTCAACAGTGGTAAACAAAGACTCTGAAGATGTCCCTTTGGTTAGCTTGATCAAAGAAGTTCAACTTGTTAGTCTTCCAGTGTTGGAGTATGTTCTGTCTTTCCTTTCTGGACCAAAGGCAGGATCACAGCCAAAAGGTTGGTCCTTTGTATCCAATTTATTAGAGCAGAAGAGAGCATCAAGCAAACCAGATTCTGATACTGCAGCAATCAAACAAATAGAAATTCAGTTGGATCTCTTGAACTACAAGAAGTCAAACCAGGAAGTAATAAAAAAACTTGAGGAAGTTGACTCGAGCATTCAAGAATCAGCAGAGGTGCTTGAAATTGTGTTCAGGCTTTTGCTAAAAACTAGAGTTTCCCTTCTGAACATTCTCAACCATTAGTTTAGGCCACAATTAGCATGGTTTCTAAAATATCATGCACCTCAATTTTGCTTATATTAGCCTTTGTACAAAATTGTACATATATACACATATCTGAAAATGAAACGGTTCATCCAATTTGATCTCTTTCATTCCTTTACCTGTCTTCAGCACTTCCATACCAGAAATCATTTCTAGTGCCAGTCAAAAATGAATCATACACATAGCTTTGGATATTTCTTTAATAATTTCAAAGTGTTCTTTGTCTGAGCTTTTAATTAATTTTTATTTTTTCTTATAATGAAGAAAGTAAATAACTTTCAGATTCTGGATCTTTTTTGTCTGTGGATTTGTGGGTATGTGAAAGAGTTAAAATCTCCAAATATAGGTCCAAATGTGCAATATACTGTCTCCTAATACGAACAGCACCATAGTGAGGGGAATCTGTAATGGTAATCTACTGCAAATCAGATCCTTAAACTAAATTTGGGTTAAAATTAAAGAATTATGGATCTTGATACATTTCTGATCTGGTATAAGACACATTCTCTGTTGGAAACTTTTCAGAATTTGTATGATGTACATATATGTAATTAATGTATATTCATTAATTTTTGGTACATGTATAGTATTGTGAATAGTGATTTGGATGAAAAAGTATATATGGAGCAACTCGAAGGATTTGTGATACCTGGTCAAAAGTATAAGGTGTGTAAACTTATAAAGTTTTTATATGGACTAAAACAAGCACCGAAGCAATGGCATCAGAAATTTGACCAAGTAATTCTTGCTAGTGGATTCAAAATAAATGAATTTGATAAATGCATTTATAGCAAGTTTAGTGATGGCAAAGGTGTCATAATTTGTTTATATGTTGATGACATGTTAATTTTTGAGACTCATTTGGAACAAGTTGAAGTCACAAAAACTTTGCTTTCAAGCAAATTTGACATGAAAGATATGGGTGAAACAGATGTTATTCTTGGTATAAGAATCTTCAAACATGATAACAATATAATATTGTCTCAATCACATTATATTGAAAAGATTCTTAACAAATTCAATCAAAGTGATTGTATTCCAGCCTCAACACCATTGGATCTCAAAATAAATTTTGTGAAAAATGAGGGGGATCCAAAATCTCAAATGGAATATGCCAAGGTTATAGGGTGCTTAATGTATGCAATGACTTGTACTAGACCTGATATTGCATATGCAGTTGGTATATTAAGCAGATATACAAGCAACCCTAGTAGGTTACATTGGCAAGGTGTAATCAGAATTTTAAAGTATTTAAAGGCCACTAAGGAATATGGTATATGTTATACCGATTATCCTTTAGTTTTAGAAAGATTTTCAGATATTAGTTGGATCACCAATAAAGATGATCACTCGTTGACAAGTGATTGGATCTTTATGCTTGGTGGAGGTGCAATTTCTTAGGGTTCCAAGAAACAGACTTGTATCACCGATTCAACAATGGCAGCAGAGTTTGTAACACTTGCTCTGAATGGTTACGTAATTTACTTTGTGATATACCATTGTGGCCAACACCTTTGTCGCCCATCTCAATCCATTGTGATAATGCGGCTACACTTGCTAAAGCATATAGTCAAGTGTATAATGGTAAATCAAGACATATCGGTTTAAAATATAGTTATGTCAAAGATTTGATCACAAATGGAGTTATATCAATTGACTTTGTGAGATCCAATGAAAATTTGAGCGATCCTTTAACAAAAGAATTATCAAGAAATTTGGTGTCAAAGACATCAAGGGGGATGGGTTTAAAGTCCAAAATTTTTTATCACTAATGGTGGAACCTCAATTCAACGCTAGATACAACTTCTAGTCTTGAATTCAATGAGTGAAAGTACACCATTTTAGTGGTTGGTGCACTATGTGAAGTTTAGACTTCCCAATGTTGAATAGTGCATGTCATTCTCGCTAGTGCAAATGTAAGGATGAGTCATTGAAATCTTAACGAATCTTAAAAGTGCTATCTGTGGCGGGGGCACTAAGATGTCGCCTATATGAATGTTAGTTTTCGGCAAACCACAAAGTTAAGGACTTTACTTTGTAAACATTCATGAAAGGATAGTGATACAAGGCCGTAAAATATATCGTTGAAGAACTTATGGTTGTGCATTGCTCAGTGTGTGATGTGTTTAGGAGGTTGGTCCAATGTCCAAGTGCTTCAAAACTTGTCTACCATCTTGAAGGATTAATTTCAAAGAACCTTCACTAAGATAGTGGTTCAATCGAAAGACACCATTATTTATACATATGAGTGTCAGATTATTCGGTGACCTTTTGAAATCCATTTTCTAAATTTTGAAAATAGCGGAGAATTGTTGGAAACTTTTCAAAATTTGTATGATGTACATACATGTAATTAATGTATATTCATTAATTTTTGGTACATGTATAGTATTGTGAATGTTTCTAAAATGTACATTCATTTATGAATGTATTCATGTATATGGGAATTCTTAAATGAAAGGATAGATTCATGTTTTGATCTAAGGATCATGAGATGTATGAATTAAAGTACATGAATTTATATACAATACTTTGAATCTATTCATACAAGTATTTAATAAGTTCTTTTGTTTCCCAAACAGTCTTTCTATATAAAGAGGTCAAGTAGAGAGTGGTTTGCTGTAAAAAATCACTTTCCTACTATTGTATACTCTCTCAAAAGCACTCCTTAGTTCCCAAAGGGTTTGTCTTGCTTTGTGCAAGAGTTTAAGACAAACAAATTTCATCTTATCCTAAAGGATAATTGTCCAAGATTATTGCACGTTATACCGGACAAATAAAGCCTAAAGGAAAGTGATATCTATCACGATTTGAAGCCAATTCTTGTCACCATATTTGCCAGTTCTTTACAATTTACCCAACAATCTTTAGCCTTTATTTCTACTCTACAATGGCTGGTACCCTGAAAGATTTGGCATCCAACATTGTCAAGTTTGAGAGTTTGTTGGAGGAAATTTCATTCGTTGGCAAAAACGTGTTCATTTCCTTCTCACTACACTCAAAGTGATCTATATTTTGACCACACCAAAACCATTGATCAATCCTGATAAAGAAACTCTTGAAGACATCCGAAAACGTCAGAAATGGGAGAATGCCGATGAAATATGCTGTGGTCACATCCTCGTGATAGGTTGCTATTTATTCAATTATTTTATTATTAATTTCTCCTATTATCTAACCCGATATGGATTAATTATTAGATTCGACTCACTTTTCATAATTTACATTTATTTCAGAGAGTAGATCAAAAATACCATAACAAGAGTCAATTTGATGATTTTCAGAAAGAACTCGATGGGCAGGCATCCAGGGGTATTTTTGGAATATCAAGGCGTGACCTTTTTTTGGTAATTTGCGAAAGACAGCATAAAAAGAGAAAAGGAACGAAGGGCTAGGGGTCGTCCTCTCCGCAAGGGGGACCGCCGCACAGGAGCCAAGCATTAGAGTAGCTTTGACTTTTCCTTTCCTAGCTTTTTAGTAGCAGTTCTCTCGTTGGTGATGACAAGGAAAAACAATGGAGTTCCTTTAGCTTTCTTTGACTTTTTCCTTTCGTCTTTTGTGGTTGCCCCCTGCGCATGCTAGGAGCTTTTCACCAATTAAACGAATTGAGTTTTTCCTAGTTTTGAAGTACAATGGCCGCAGTTATTCCTTCAATTTTGTGTGGATTTTGTTCATCAAATATGAACTAATTTCCTCACTCTAGTCAAAGAACAACAGATGCTTTGAATCGTCTAAAATTGTGAGATCGATTTAATTTTATCTTTTTCGTTTATTTATTGGTATTCGCATATTCCCTGGTTACAGTGCTTATGATTATTTAATTAATTGATTGACTTGGATCCGGATAATTAGTTAATTTGATAATCTATTGTCAACTGGGACGTTAAATCCGTAATTGTTTAATTGTCTCAAAATAGTGATAACTGGCATGATTGGATTTGTGTCAGACGAATACGTGAGCTAATCTAAAATAACCATGGTAGTGTGTTATTTGGTTAGAATAGGGTTCCTCTAATACGTAAGGCAATTGTGGAATTAAATCTTATAGGCGTACCTATGATTATTTCTCAATTAGAGCAATTGTTAACGGGCGTACCTTAATCACCAACACAGTAAGGAGGGGTTGGCTGTCATCGTTTATTTGACAGTTATAACCTATTTATTAGTGAATAATTGGAATTGCCTTTGTTTCAATGATCAATTAGATGAATCATTGCTGAAGTTATTTCTTGGTTAGATCCTTAATTATCATTCATTTGATTTCTGTAATTTGTCATTTAATGTTTAATAGTTTCTTAGATTTTATTTAAATTTCTTTTATTGTCACCTTTTGCACAAAAATACCCCCTTATTACTGTGAATTTGGAAAGAAATAATTACTCCCAGTCCCTGTGGATTCGACCCTACTCACCGATATCTACAGAAATTACTTTTAGTTTGAGCATGTTTTATTATTGTACAGGCTGACAACCTGTCAATTTTTGGCGCCGTTGCCGGGGACTGGTGCCTGATTAATTTGTTTCTTTTTTAGTTCATCTTGTTTTTATTTTTCTCTTATTTTTTTTTAGTTTATGGCTGCTAACATTCCGTATTTTGATGATAGACTGGATTTTATTCCTGAATGAGGTTATGAGACTCGTGTTTTTTCTAATGATCAATAGGCTGTTGCAAATTGTGAAACTTATTTTGCCTCAAGTTATTCAACCGACACATGCCCCGTACTTCAAGATAACCTAAATGTTTCAATTGATACTTTTGGAGATTTTTCACCTCAATATCAAACGTGGTATGACCCTTATTCAAACGGGTATGATTCAAGGATGGTGGGATGATTCCAATTTTAATTATGCGACCAGGCCAATGGATTTTCAACAGCAAGAGTCTCAACAATCATCATCCATGTCAGGTATGTCTTTTCAGAAAATGATTGAATTATTTGCTACTAATACATATCGATTTCATCAGGAGACACAAGCAAG